GCCACGTGAAACGCGAGTTATTGTTATAGAGCGACTGTTGAAATTAAGTGTATCGTAAAGTTGTATTCGGAAAGAATAAACCAGTTTTACTTAAGAAAGGACTTGTGTCGCTAAAGTTTCGTCGGAACGAATTTACGGAAAATTAACTAACGAACGGAGACATGACAATATATATAAACACTTAAAATCATCGCTAGATGTCACTACTTTATTATCACATCCTCTCGGTTACTTATTGAATATTAAATAAATATATAATTCGGGTCTTTCTATTTATTTGTAATTTGCTTACTTAAAATAATATATTTTAATTTTATGTTATTCACATTCTACGATTAAAGATCGTGTTATATTATTCTCTTTATATTTTCACAGTTAAAAATGTAATGTTAAATAAAGATTCATCTTCTGGTAAAGAGCAAAACATTTTAGAATTGTAATTTGGAATTCTTCCATGGAATTGGGGATGATGCGGGGAAAAAATGAAGGTAGATACGGCATCACATTCATTTTGAAAAATGGTGGGCAATACTGTTTACTGGTGTTTATTGCCCTTCGCGTCACAGTGTTCCGTTATTCGACTGCAGAGCCTTCTACTGGTTAATTAAATATATCTGGTTATATTCATTCTGTTTAAAATTAATATATACATATATTAATATATACTTTCGATATGTTTTCTTATCCGCATCACAGAAGTATTTCAATACACTTCTAATCTAGTAGCAATTTGTCTCCGGTATAAAATTCATGACACGCCAAGCATTCGAAACTGTAAACTATGTTTTTCCATAATTTTATTTAAATATCTTAGACCGTATTTGTTTTACTAGACATAAATTACAGAACTCGTAAAAAGTCTGATTTCTTGCTTGCACCTGTCCAAATTATTCAGAGTTTCAACTAAACTAGAATTATATGGACTGACGTGAGTGAGAGAGAGAACAAGTTTTATACGATTAGTCACCGTTTCGCTGGTAGTACTTGACAGTTCTTAGTGCTGGCAAACAAATTGCTGTTTTGTGATGATTTTGTTTTCCACATCGAAATTGAAAGAACAAAAGCATATTTCGCAAGAATTTTGCTAAAGAGCAATTTTTTGAGAAACCTTATTTATCATATATTTAAAAAATGAAATTACATAAACAATAGTCGTTCGTTTTTATAATTGCTTTCCGATTATGTAAACCACGTATCTTTTGTTAAATACGTTGATTCCCAGCGGGTCGGTAATAGAACATATGTTTGTTTGTTTTTAATCTACCCCCCACACATTAAAAGATAATAATGTGCAACACTTTTATGATTATTGATGGGTTTTTTTTTTTCTCTAATTTCATATTTATCCATACTAACCGATACAAAATACTGGAAAATCGTAAATATTTGCAATGTTTTAATCGTCTCTAAACACTTAAGTCAGGTCTTTCAAAATTTCATAGATAATAAAAGGTTCTACTAAGCGTTGTGTTCAAGATATTTACTATCTTGTTGTGTTCTAGGGCAAAGTTCATTAACACCATTATTATTATTTTTGAATTGATAAGCCGGATACCGTTCCGTTGAGCAGTTATTTTATCGAGATTTTAGAAATATTATTTACAAAAAACTACTTTGATCCATTTTTTAAACCTCAAATTGTTTGTTTATACACAGAAAACTTGGTCTTTTTTTTTTTAGGGTTAAAACTTGATTTCGATTTTTTTTTCTTTAGGATATGCCCGTGTATCCCAGTGATAAATTTACCATCTTGTAATGCTAAACTCCGGGGTTTGATTCCCCGTGGCGGACGGAGTACAAAGGGCATTGTGCGATAAGAAACGACTACTTTAAGATACCGGTTTCGTGGGTAATCCCACTCTTCAGTCTTATGTATCCTAAAACGTGAAACAAAGTAAGTAAATATTTAAACATTCTAAAATATATATATAAAAAAAAAGTTTCCGTCTTAGAAACAGTAATAAAAAAACTATCTGTATAGCCAGTAAATGGTTAAAATTAGATAGACACATAAATAATTCAAATCTGATCTGCTTCACATCCGTGGCATCTGATTTTCATTTTTAGTCGATTAAACACCAGGAAATCGTTACTTATTTCACGTTAACTTCGCACCTGCCCCCTAGTGGCACAGCGATATGACACAACGCTAGACACCGGGCTTCGATACCCGTGGTGGACAGAGCACAGATAGCCCATTGTGTAGCTTTGTGCTTAACTTAAAATAAACAAACTTCGCACCTTTCCCTACTGGGTTACCGGTAAGCTTACAGACTTAAAATGCTAAAATGGGGGGTTTGATTCCCCGCACTGAACAGAGCGCAAATGGTCCACCGTGTAGCTTTGCGCTAAATCAAAGAAACCTTCCTTCCTGACTTGTATATAGCATTGTTTCTTAAAACACGCCTACTGAGGGGTATTAAGTTCCTACATTTCTATTACACTCCGCAGACACGTTGTTAAAACGAGGCTTTGTGTAAGGAAATGTTGAGTGGGTGGTTGTGTGTGTGTGTGTGTATATATATATATATATATATATATACACAACACGAAAAAAATTTAGGCTATTTATATAAAACTCGAAAGTATCTAAAAATAAACACAGAAAAACGGGAGTTCTGTAATCATACTTATAAAACTAGAGATAGCTAATTAATGCTTTATCCGTCGTTTAAAACAAAAGTTGAGGTTTAATTGTGCACTTTTTAAAATATTAGGAAGCCCTCTAGCGATTATTTAACGTACGTTCAAAGACGCATTTAAACGCCCAATAAAATAATGTTTGAAATCGTAATAGTTTTATACATACATGGCCAAAAGATTTGCATATGCAAGTGATTTTCATAATATTATTAAAAAAAAAGAACTGATCGTAGCGAGGCGTATATTTCTATTTTTAACTTCGCAATAAAACATAGAAAAAACGTACAAACTACATTAAAAAAGGTATAATTATTTTTTACATCACCTTTAATATGTTCTTAAATATTAATCGCACGTGAACCTATAAAGTTCTTATTTAGGCGTTTGCTTCATGTTTTAGACCATAGATGGCTGAACAGTTGAGTTGCCCACGAAACCGGTATTCTTTTGAAACAAGAAAATCGTAATAAATTAAAACTCAAAACGTTTGGGCAAGACCGTTTTGTTAAAAACGTTTGTGTGTATGAAATCGTGCTGCAATGAATTTTTGTTTCGAGCATGTAAGCACATTATAAATTCTTACTTTTATCAGTTATTTGTATTTTTATCAGACTTAAAGTATAACATTTAAAAAAAAAGTATGTACAACTACAATAGTAATACGGTTTAAACGACCGAAGCATCAGAAACCAATAGGCCTAAAATTTTGATAAAAATCTCAACTACAGATGTTTTCTTTTTGTTTAACTTTACTATTTGTGGGCTAACCTCTTCTCAGAAATTTATTAACCTATATCTACACGTAGGTGTGTGTGTGTTCTATGAACAAAACAAACAGAAAAAACAATTCGTTTTCTCATGTTATTTGTATTTCAACAGTAGGAAATGTGTCGCGTATTTACACTTTTCGACTTAATTTAGAATAATTCTTATAAATAAATACTCTTAAATCAAGAGTTATAGTCGGTTAATCTACCATCAAAGTTGGTAGTTGACTAACAGCACCGGAATTTGAACACGAATGGATGCAGAAAACCAACAAAAACATACAGAATCTCCTTACTAACAGGAGTGTACTTTTCCTTTGAAGCACAGCATTTTATAAAATAACTATCAAAATATGGTTCCCACATTTACAAAAAAAAAATTGATAAAAATGCTTTTTTTAGATCCAAAGTAAAAAATAAACTTGTTTTTAGTAAATTAACCACTTTTTTATTACTTTTTCATTTTTGTCAAAAAGGAAAAATACACTCAGCATCACACATAGAACATGACAAACATATAGGTATTTTCTGAACCAAATTTCAACAGTTTAGTTTACATAATGCCTAATAAATTTGTGTTTCACATAGCCAACTGAAACTTGACTAACATTTTCATATCAATTAATAATATATTATAATTATTAAAATAACTTGCGAGTATAAACCTGAATGTTACCTTTTGACTACACAATATCCTACTTGCAATAGAGAACCAAATCAATACTTTACTACAATCTCCAGAATCTAATTTCACAGAGCAACCTTAAGTACATATAATTTTCCACATTCATGCTGATGTTATGCCTTTACTCATATGATGAGAGTCCTGGTAAAACCAGTTGTAAGTAATAGCATTAGTTAATCAACAAAATATAAACTGGAGCAAACCAAGTGTATAACATAAAACACTATACTAAGAGAGACTGTTGTTACCCTAACCTGGTAACCCTGAAGATTTTAAAGTTTAATACCAAAGAATCACAGTGAATATTATATGAAGTTCTTCAGACATTCTATACAGATGAAGGGAGGAGAAACTGCAAGGTGGTCACTCCTAACCCACGCTCGGCTCTCCCGGTTTCGGACACGCATCCCTCTTGATTTGAACCGCTATTTGTAGAATGATGATTGACCCAAAGTCCTACTCGCTTGCCACTGGTGTGTCTTTTTACATGTTTAGCAAGGTGGTCACTCCTCATAAATCTCCGCTCGCACACTGGACAAGCAAATTTTTTCTCTCCTGTATGAGTTCTCTTGTGACGTGAAAGTTCGTCAGACCTCGAGAATTTTCTGTTACATCCTTCCCATGTACAGGCAAATGGTTTTTCCCCTGAAAAAGAATTCCAACAACCGATAAATATATCTTGTGCTTATCCGTACTGAAACAACCACTTGAATTGTGGAAAAATAATGACAATTTCTGGAAGCAACACAAAGGACACCCTCACATTAGCTCTACTGTAAGAAATGTGTCACAGAAATGCCTATTGTGTCACATTAGTTAATGAACTTACCAAGTCTACTTTATGCTTGCTAAGTGTGTTTTTTAAGTTCTGATGATGCATTCTTTTGTTTCTAAAACTCGTGGGAAAATATTCTAAAAAAAATGTTTTTGAAATGGGACGTCTTTCCCATTTTCATTGAACTATAAATATCTATTACTTACATAAAGCAAAGTATTGGTTCCTAGAAATAATCAAGATTTATAAATCTTGCAAAACATTAAATGTTCTTTGACCCAAAACAACTCTAGTTTTTGTTAAAAACATAACCACATTCCAATGGTTCATCAGGTACAAAAGAATACTATGTACAAGTTATTTACCTGTGTGGGTTCTGATGTGGGCCTTCAGGTGAGAGCTTTTGAAATAGGTCTTGGAACAATTCGGATAAGAGCACTGATAAGCTCTTCGTCTTGCATCTGCCAGTAAACTTGCTTTATCTGTCGGTGAAAACACTAATGGTGCAGGAGCTAATATCCGCGGTTTGGAAGCTTGTCCATCGGGGATTCCACAGGTCACTGTCGTCCCATTAATTCCCAGTGGTGTTGCTGCTACCAGAAACTGGAATACAGATCCATTGGATCCTAATAATGGTATCAAAGTGGTAGGGGCACCATTCGAAGTGTTGGGAAGAGAACAAGATTTGACTGAAGAGTCTTCTTGTTGACTGTTACTGGCCATCATTGGCCTGACAGTAGAAAGAATGGGAACCACAGTTGTAGGAATGATCTTAGGAGCAATAGCGATAGGCTTAGCTGTACTCTGAGTGGTGCATGTGTTTAATACACAATGAACAGAAGATGTATCCAGAGTGAGTGGAAGCACTGCTGTTATTGGGGTGTGTTGTATGGTAACAGAACCAGAACTAACACTCTGAGCAGTTGTCGTGACAGGCAGACTAACTGAAGGAGACACAGCAGATTGCTTACCAGGAAATGTGGTGTTTCTATCACAGCCAGTGAGCTGGATCACTTCACTCCTTCTCGATTCATCCTTTTCAGTAATACTATTTTCTGAGAAATGGCACACTCGTGGAGCTCTTCTGATGACAGACACAGGCATACCTGTCACCTGAGGACTTGGTGTAGGAGGAGGTGTCTGAGTCAAAAGCAACTGAAAATAAGAGAATAACACTTGAATATATACGTTAAGTAAATGGACAAACCAGAAGAAAAATACTACAGAAAAATTGGCAGAATCCAATGACAATAAAGAGATGTCTCATAATCACTAACATTTTACCATGCTTGCCTGACCACATGAAAACATGTCCATACAAAACAAACGTGTAAACACACACACACACAGAACATTCTCCTCATAACACCTTTTACATTTTAGTTTCATACATTCCGATTTTTTTCCCATCATAATCACTCTAAACACGAGAACCTACATAAGCATTAATAACATTTGCTTATTACAAACACTCAAAAGATCTATTTGGATTGTCTCACTACAAACACGGGAACTTACTCGAGCAAGCTCAGAATTGCTTTTTTTTTTCTGATTGATTTCTTCCAGTTCATCTTCAGAGTTGGGTGGTGTCAACTCGAGCTGTCTGGTATTGAAGAAATCGACACTGTCTTGCGTGCTGCTGTCATGCTGGGCTGGGCATATCTGTTGGCTGATAGATAACAGTGTTTGTACTGCATCAAAGTCATTCTTCTCTTGCACTACTCCATGAAGACAATCCTCCTGGGGGAAAAAAAAATCTATTTTAATATATGTTGAAGCCATTAACATCCATAGTCAATATATTCAATCAGAATGTATTTTAATTGGTTCATTGTTGTTTTTTTTTACTTCCCACCAAATCAAATAATATGATTTCCTCAATAAATAAATAATATTTCATGTTATTATCAAAGAAGCTAAAATCAACATTATTAAATTCAAATAAAATCTTAATGCTTTAATTTAAAAAAAAAGGGGTGGTACTGGTAAATCAGTTCACCGTAAATGTAGCAGAAAAACATGGAACAATAGTTTCTGAATATTAGCAAACCCTCAGAATGTAAACAGATATATAGAGAAAGAAAAGAAAACAAACAAGACCCATCAAGAGGTATTTATGAAACCTTAATAGTGATTCTATATTGTGTAAACACTTTTAAAATCTGAGGGACTTCAAAACCAACCAACCACACACACACACATGTATATGTATGTATGTATGTATTTTTTTAATTATCTTTTAAAATCTCTTGGGCACCAGTGATTTTGTTTTTTTAATATTTAATAACTTGTGTTGTCAAAAAAAAAGTCCTGATTATTACAAACTTCCCACTTTAATGTTGTTTCATAACATGCTAATTCACAGGAAATCACTTAAAGATGTTTCACACTCTTAATTATGGCCTTTTTTAAAATTAATATGCTAATCAACATTTTTAACTCCTCTTCCAATTTTTAAAATTATACAATACAGTTTTAAGGCTGATTTACAGATTTCGTTTACCCACAGCACTGACAGACTGTTTCATTTTACAAAACAAAGTATTTTAGCTTATTAACTTTGGATGAGTAGTACAATTAGAGAAAGATACAGCCTTTGTTATCTACTAACTGGTCCAAATTTCATACTTAAATTTTATTAAATCCCACTAAATATTCTGATGATATTAAGATGTGAACATAGTAGATATTCCGATTCTAAGGAACGGAGGATAAAATTGATGTGGAGAAGGGGGGTAACATTTTTTACCTACTAATAAGTTTCTAAAACTGGCTAGCAACAGAGCAATTGGAGGTAATAGCTGTATAACTATGTTCTTCCGGTTTCTCTAATTGTTGATATAAAGTTTGGAAACCTTTGAGAAAAATGTTGGAAAATCATCAACCAAATCTCCAAAACTGAAATTTATGATCGTGGAAGTTTTTTGTTGACGTCAGTGCGTGAATTTATAAATGATGTGATTTAGTGTAGTTATATATCATTCATAGGTTAATCTTTTTCTTCCCATTGAAAACAAAATTTTACTTCTCACTATTGTTTGGGAAGAAGTCAAGATGGAAGTAGATTAAACTCCCCTGTCAAGCCAAGAAGTTATTGCCTCTTTAGAACTTGACTGTTTAATCACTCAACATGGTGACTACTGCTATCTTTAAAACAATACAAAACTGATTTCACATTTAAAGTGTTGTCATTCAAACAATGGTTCATTCTAGAACAACTCCTCCCCCTAAATATTATCACTCACCAACACTTCAACAGAGCTAAGTTCAAAGTCTCTCTTGGACTTCTGCACTTAACTATCACATTCAAATGTTGCAATGACCCTCTAATTGGCTAAATGCAATCATCTCTATCTCTTTGTGGATGTACAAATCAGAAGTAAACAACCAAAGTCCATAGGTAGAGTAGCATTGTCAGTTCCACCTTTTATTAGTTTCTCTCTCCTTGAACTGCAATTGGGGAGATAAACTGGTGCCATTACATAGAAGATAGAAAAAACCTTGGTGATTCAGGGGATCTTACAGAACCAGACAAGACTAGACAGCAGAATCCTACTACTACTACTACTAGGCCCATGCTGCTTTGTAAGTACAGTAGCCTATAGTTCTCATGCTGTCTTGTACAATAATAACTCATCATAACCCACTGTTCCTAACTTTGTTATTTTCATAATCTGTTCTATTTTTCACAAATATCAAGTAAAGACAAAGAACTCTTTAAAGAACAGATAAAACCAAGTTTTGATTCTAGATTACAAATTTCCTGGTGAACATTATATAAATAAAAATATCACAAAAACTTACGTTTCTAAGTAACTGATCATTAAACTAAACTGTTACATCTCTAATAAAAGCTAGTTTCACAAGTAAGATGTTGGCAGCAGTAGCACAACAAACATATTAGTTTGAATTTTTTTTTTGAACATCCAAGACTAGTAACTGAAAACTGATACATCAACAGCTTAAATGTTGTGTTTAAGCAGATTTTAATAAATGTTACTGAATTTAGTTGTCAATTAATACAGTCATGACTGTCTGTATCTTACTATTTAATAAAAGTTAACCTTTGGAAGACAAATGCTTCTTCCTTTGTTCCAATTAGGCCTACAACTTACTGTTTCGCATTTAACTGGGGTTACAGACACTGTTTAAGTTAAAAACTTAAATTGTTTTTGTCACCACAGCCTAAAAATTAGTAAAATAAAATAAACTTACAACTAACCTACTAGTACTTAGACTATGATATACTAGTTAGTATTTTTTTTTTATCAAACATCTATTGATTAATACAAACACGTTTCGTTAAATTTTGAAACAAGCAAACACTGGTTAAAACGTTGGAGTTCAATATGACAGATCAACACCAGATTCACGTGCACATCACATGAACTATTAACATTACAGCACTCAGCAGCGTAGGCTGGAAGGAAAAACCGCCTTTCCGCTGACGCGTAGTTATTAATATTATACTTACGTGTCTACACTACAATAATAATATCAACAGTACACACAACTAGTTAATATGATTTTTGGACAGTTGACACATGAAATCTAATTTTGAATAAAAACATAACACAAACACAACGAAGCCAAAATTGTTGTTGTTTGTTTTTATTTGGCTCCGTAAATTTTCACCAGTGTAATGCTTGTTCGAAAGGCTGCCCATTGTGTTTGGTACAGCAAGTAAGTAAAGTCGAACGTTCAACTGAAGGCTAACCCTAAGTTAACTATTATTAACATAAAGTAGAAGATTATTTCGTTCCCGATACTTACAGAGAACGAATGTGGAGGAGTATGTGGTGGAGAATATGAAAGTCTAGACATCGTTAAACACTGCAACATTCACTTACGACTTCAAACTAACGTAAAAGTTTCTTCGGCCTTCGAAATCTGCTTTTATTCTAAAACGATAGGGTGTGTATTGTAGATTCAAAACAAAGTCATATGGGCCGGAACTGTATTGTCCATTCAGCATCGAGGAAGATTGGAGGGCATGTTAACTCAGCCAATGAAGATTGAGTGTTCATGTGATCAGTGCGTGATTGTGGGTCTGCTGAGCACGTGTACCGTGTATGACAAGAGCATGAGTAACAAAGTGTTGCAGTTAGAGCGTGAGCTAATGCACGTACTGTTGACAAGCCTCGTAGACGGATATAACACGTATTTAGTCGAAACTAAAAAAAAGTTTCAATTTAAAAAAAAAAAGAGCATTTCTTTGATCATGTAAAGATATTTTTACTATCGCAATTTTTACATATAGACATTAATTATTCATTTCGTTACAACGTATTAGAAGTGAGACACAATTGCAATACATAAATTTCGTATTGTATTACAGGAGCAGTTAAATGAATTCTTAAGATACTTTGATATACTGCCTTCTTGTTTCACTTCAATTCTCAGACATAAAAATGATTCACGTGAGATTTTTCACGTGGTTGTGAGGTTCGAAAGACGACAACGCAGAGTTTGATTGGATGGTGATCTCATTACTGTGTGTGATCAGCTGGTGATTGTCATATTGGGAGACACCCTGTCTCTTCTTGCTATATATCAATTCTTAACGTATTCTAGCAGCTTTATACCGACATTTTGGACGTATAACAAACTAAACCCACTACAAAGACTCTAACAGTTGTGAACTTAACGGTACGTGTCGGGGGAAATGAATTAAGTTTGTACCATGTCACAGAACACCATGTATTTTGATAGACAGTTTTATGTCTACGGGGTTAAAGCGGACGTAGTTTTATCGGTTCTGTCGACTATTTGAATATATATATAGTTTCATCAATGTTATGTTGACAGTGTTGAGATGTATTTTGATCCACAGTGTTACATCTATGGAGTTATTGTGGACAGTCCCATCTGTAGTTTGTTCAGAGTTCTGTCGTCAGTTTGCTGGTGTATTTTGATCACTAGTGCTATGCTAACCGCATATGATGGTTTTCGATCAATACTCCACAAAATCTGTTTGCATCATTTGGATCTTCAATTGCTGGAGAGAGAGAGAGAGGTGGATATTGGGATACACATTGTGTGAGAGTTTTGTAATGTGTATTAATTACATATAGAAGTACAATAACATCAGTATGTAATTTCCACATATCAACGTAGACAGCGTGTAATGTTGACATGAACCGTATAATTGATAACAGAAAGTACACAACTTCAGTCTATTTTGTAATTTCCCTCCGTTGTTTTTCTGCTTGCTAATTTAGAAACATGTTTCCTTCATTTATAAAACATCATATAAGTTTGTGTTATGTCTTTATGTTTGTACGAGAAAGAAGTGATTGAAATAAATAATATTATTATTATTGTATGATAGAGGATACACCCCCAACAAATAACGTAAACATAATTGTATGAACACCTTCAACATTGTTCGTAAGTCCGTTGAAATCACGACATAATACACAAACAGTGAAGCTAATGAAGTTCGCGAGTGTAATGCGTAGAATGCATAAACAGTTTGTTTGTTTATATTTCACACACAAAAAAAGTTATATTAGCTGAAAATGTACACCCGAAACTTTATGTACAGTAGTCTGGAGTGTAGAAGACAAAACCGACGTAACAACGACCGCGTACCCTATCTGTTTTTGTATATTATTATTATTATTATCTTTCGTTTCGCTTCTCAGCTTGTCTGTCAAAAGTACTCTCGAACTCAATACACAGCGTGTAATGTTTCAGCATCTGAGATCCAGAACGGTTTGGGATTTTTCTATTATTGTTTATTTATAGGTGGAAGCACTGCAATTAATTTTAAGAGTGTCTCGATTGCACTGCGGATTGAGTTCGTGTAAACCCAAGAACAAGATAGAACCGAAATGCAGGGCAATAAAAACATATGTTTCTTGAAGTTACAAGGAAGTTAGCATTTTTAACGATAGGGTCCATCTATTGTCGATTTGTGTAAATATTCTACATCACAGTTGTCTGTTTTATCAAAGAGATGGCCAGGTGGATAGGGCGCTCGACTCGCAATCTGCGGGTCGCGGGTTCGAATCCCCGTTACACCAAACAAACTCGCCCTTTCAGCTGTGGGGGCGTTATAATGTGACGGTCAATTCTACTATTCGTTGGTAAAAGAGTAGCC